ATAAATATATATACCCATACCTACGCCTATATACATACATACATACACATGAATATACACTCACATACATATCTATATATCTACATATAAAGCCTACATAAGCATCCCTGCTTCTATTTGTGTGTGGTTGTGAGCATGCATAAGTGTATAAGGCTTCTCTAATAGAACATTTAATAGTAACTGTGAAGCAGCAGAGACCCGACCCCCAAGACCAGAGGCAGACTAAAAAGGGGGGACCAGAGCCCAAGACCCCAGGAGGGACCCCGACCGCGGAGCCCCCAGAGCCACCCACACAGGACGAACCACTCACCCACCCCCCAGAACGGACCACAGGGGAGAACCGGAAGATCCCCACCAGCAACCACATACAGTGACTCCCCGGGGCCAACAGCGACAAACTCATAGGCCTCCGTCGGCACCCGCCGCACCGATGTAGGTCCAGGTCCAGGCACCGAGGCCCGGGCACCGAGGACTCACACCACCCAGGCCAAGGCCTGACAGGGCCAGAGGACCCGAGCCCCACCAGGCAGACACCAGGCCGAGCCGACACAAGCCCAAGCGCCCAGCCCCCGATACCAAGGGCCCCAAGCGCGCCGGCAGGCAAGGGCACACCCCACCAGGGGGCCGCGCGATAGGGGCGCGATGCCAAGCACCCCCAGTTGTATCAAAGAGGGGGCAGTCCGAGTCTCGGCCTAACAAATACCCATTCATACACAGACACAATCACACAATCTCAACCTCAATCTCACATTCACTCACTCAAAGACATACAATAACGATACATTTCATTCTTATTACTGTAGTGAACTAAGCCTCAGGTCAAATCTGGCCCTGAGGGCCTTCCTGGGACAAGAACTGTATTTCATTGATTTGAGTCCAGAAACACAAAATCAAGTCCATCCAGAAACTTTCTAAGTGTGTCCTGCACTGATCAATTGAAAGAACACTCTCTTTTTTATTATCATTACTATTTTACAAATGTCTTGATAATCAAAGTGTGTTTAGTTCAAACCATTTTAAATGTTGAAGTGAACTACTCATTTTAAATCAACTGTGAAACAGTATTAATGATTTTTAATCCTCATTCAAAGTAGAAATCAAGTTAATGTTTGTTACAAGAGTAATTATGCATTTTGATTTTCTGTCTGAAATGAGGTTGTAAGTCGGTCAAAAGTCAAGTTTCGGTCAACTACATGTTTACTGGAAAGAAATGTCATGTTTAACTTTTTCAGACAGATAGAAGTAGAACTGGCACCTAAAAGTCTCGGTTTCTTCAAAACATTTTCTGTCTGTTCTTAAACAACTTAATCTTTTTCCTTGACTTTTAATAACCTCTTACATCACTAAAACCACACCCCTGTTGGGTCTATCGACCAATCAGGAAGTTCTCAGAGGAACCGGAAGTGACCTCTTTAAAAGGTTCAACACTTCCTAGTTCCACAGAAAATGCTGAGAGTTAGTTCCGAGAGCAGCAGAGTTCAGAATGCTGGAATGCAGAATGCTGGAGAACAACGGCAACTAAGCTGAACAACGTTCCAGGGAGGACCTCAAACGAGAAGTCCCTGAACGAGAGAAGTTCAGAGGAACTATGAAGAAGTCTGTTCTGGGATAATCTCACGACTCCTGAGGTTTTAGCTGTTCCTACGGAGACGCTGAAAGAGTTGAAAGGAAAACTCTACACCGACGCCGGAAACTATCATCTGCAAAGGTAAAGAGTCGATCTCAACCAAAGTGTACCGTGGGTTAAGCTGATTTCCAAAGGAGCGTGTTGTCGTTCTGGTCTACAGACCTACATCTTATACAGACACATACATCTTCACCCATCTCTCTCCATTTAAACTTCATTTTCCCATCTTTAAAACTCTTCTATCTGCCAGTAATTAATCCAGATATTTCCAGAAATGTCTGTTGTAAAGCTTGAAGCTGGAATACCATGGCCGTATGGTTTCTGATTGTAAAGCTAATTAATTAAGCTGTTGTTGAAATCAATTTGCCAAATTAATGTAAATGTTTGATGTTAAACTTTGATTCTGTTAATAAATGACCGCATGCATTTTGATGGGTCAAAGAAAATTAACGTCTCACGTCATATTTAATCGTTCAATGCACGATAGAACTCAGTCCAGAAAAATGAAAGAATCCGTTTAATTTATGGATAATATCTCACAGATATATGTTCATTTACATTCCCGATACACACTCTATACCCCCCAGGTCCAAGACATGTACCCGCCCTCTACAGGGGGCAGCCCATGCCCAAACCCAGGAGGTAAACCCATTCATTCTTGAGCGGAGAAGAGCCAATACCCCAGACCCGGCCCAGGCCATGCCCCGCCGACAGGACACCCCCCCACCATGAAGAGGACACGCCACCGACCACCCCCACACACCGCCAACAACCAAGCACGCACCCCCAGCCGACCGCCCGCCAGGCCCCGGCAGCCACCCCGGCCAGCGGGCCAACCATGGCACCCAAGAGCCAAGCTCAGGGGGTCCAAACAACCCCAGGGAGAGCACAGCGCCAGCACCGCCCATGGCAACCCCCAGACCCTGAACCCCCACATAGTCCTGGTCAACACCCGACGGCCTGCCCTTCTCCCGGACCCCACCCCCGGAATGGCAGTCAGGGAACTAGGTGGGTAGGAAGAGGAAAAAAATAAAATAAATAAAAAATAAAAAATAAATAAATAAAAAATTTTTTTTTTTTTTTAAATAAGACCCCGACACATACACCCCCGCCCCTAGATGTGCTGTTGATGTGTGTTGTTGTATTGTGCCATTAAAAAGGAAAGAAGAAGGAGCAAAGGCTGGCATGGTGCCAGTTTCCCCTCCACCCCAACTCTATCCAAACCCTAGTGTCTAAATGCAACCGTTGTGAGCACAGGCACAGGGGGTGAGAGTAAGGTCATCCCACCACCCATAGCCATGTGCCCACCTCAAGTTCCTATATATGAATGTCATGAGGATGTTATGAATGAATGTCTAAGGTGTACAATAAAATTGAGTCCCAGGTGGCTATGGTCAACAAAGATGTAAAATTGTTGCAGCACACCCGAGCCCAAACAACCCTAAATGTATGGAATTTGAAATGAAGAGGGTGGAGGTGCATGGTGAGGGATGGGGAGAAATAACTGTGAGAGCAAATGCTCCCACAGGGGGTCAGCTCCCCCACTGACCCAACAGCCCCCCCCCCCCCCCCCCAGCTCCCCAAGGTCCACCCAGGGATTAAAATAAAAGTTTTTAAGTGTTAATCTTGTTAAATTCTTGTTAAAGACCTCCTGTGAACGCTCCCGCAGCCGCCATCTTGGCAGCCAATCAATTTTCGGCCCACGTTTCCGGGTGGTCAGCGATGACACATAATAGATGCGACTTACATGGTGAAGCAACTTTTTTTTCTTCCACTTTATTAGACATTTTTGGACTGATGTGACTTAAACGGTGGTGCGACGTGTACGGCGGAAAATACAGTACAGATTTTTAAACTGAATGGACGCGACTTATAATCGGGTAAGCTCAATAATCTGGAAATTAAGGTAATCTTATAATAGCATTTTTCTACACTAGTTTTTCTCTTTTCAATAAAAGTTTTGCTGCTATTAAAAAAAAACTATTAACAAACCAGGTTTTTGTTTTACTTTTATAATTTTAAACCCCAGATTTAAAAGTGAAATTGACAAAAACGTTGAGGCAGAGAAGGTTTGGCCCAACTTAAAGACAATAATCTTTGCTAAATCATTGTTTAAACAAACATACCTTTCTACACACAACTTGCTGTTCACGTCCCACACCGTCAGTAACCCCCCCACGCTGCCAGCTGCCAGGAACTGACCACATGGGGACCAGGACACCACGTTGATCGGCTGCAGAGAAAAACACATTTTAAAAACTTGCTTGTTTTTAACTGAGCTATCATTTGTGGTGATTTCTACTTCAGAAGAGCAGTGCTTCATTTTATCTATGGTAGGGGTCTGCAAGCAGCGGCTCAGGGGCCACATGTGGCTCTGTGGTCCCTCTGCAGTGGTTCTTTGAAGCTTTGACCAAAATTAACACGTTTCATTTTTTGTGTTTTTATATCCACAACACAAAAGTCTGGTTTTAGCAGTTTTTCCTGTCAGTTGTTTGTCAACATGTGAATGACACATAATGTGAGTCATTTGTTGACTCATGAGTCATCTGAGTCATTCACTTCCAGCCTTACAACGGGATCTTTCTGTCACATCTAACAGAATGGGGAAAAAAACATTAATAAATTAAAAGTACATGAAAGTGTTTATTTAAATTCAAAGCACAACACAAACTCACCTAATGTTAATACTCATTTTTATGATCTGCTTTATTACTTCACTACAAATACTACAAACACTACAAATACTTCACTTTGTCCACAAATAAAAAGAGGACTCACAAAGGCTTGCATAGTTCAGTGTTTAAATTTTGTATCAAAGTTTTTATAAACCGAGGCGACTCTGTTGATAGAGCTGCTGCCTCTCAGCGAGAAGGCTGCCAGTTCAAATCCTGGCCGGGGACCTTTCTAGGTGGAGTTTGCATGTGTGGGTTTTCTCCGGGTACTCCAGTTTCCTCCCACAGACCAAAAACATGCATGTTAGGCTGATTGGTAACTCTAAATTGTCCCTAGGTGTGAGTGAGAGAGTCAATGGTTGTTTGTCTCGTTTGTCTCTGTGTCCCTGTGATGGACTGGAGACCTGTCCAGGGTGTCCCCCGCCTCTCACACAGTGACTGCTAGATATGGGCACCAGTGACCCCCCGTGACCCAAAAAGGAAGAAAAGACAATGGATGGGTATAAACTACAATTTTTCCCCCTTTTTTATGAGAATATGTTCTTTACTTTCATCCTAAAATGTAAAAATATCAATAAATGTTATACATGTTTAGTTTTACAGTATCACCACCACTAACTGGAAGAGCCCCAACAAGTGGCCCATGGGCCACCAGTTGATAAACACAATCGTAGAACATTTTGCAGCTTTGGGCACATTTTATTAATGAGTGATGGGACAGAAATGGCTCTCGATAGTTAACATCCTGCCTATGAGGACATGTGTGCCAGGCTCTGGGGGTCATATGGGGTGGGGGGTGTATCTGACCTTATATAAACATCAAAGCCAACTTTACAGATCGTGTTGTTGAAGCTGAAACTCACCTCATGGTCTTGCATGTTAAGCACTAACTGACAACATCTATTGGAGTCTGTATGTTAGCCACATATCGGAGGACTTACTGGGCAGATTGCCAATAATCATGTTTTTTTATTCAACCTAATTCAAGATGGCCACCATCACCAAATGACCTTATAAAACACAAAAATGGCTAAAGCTCATCTGATTTTAGATACTGAGCTAAACTTTGGTCTGGTAGTAGCTGGGAGTCATCCTCAAAACACAGAGTGAGGGCTACAACACACCCCACAAGCCTCAGTTACAAAGTCTGACCAGAACAGTTCGAGCTCCGTCTCTTCTCTCCGGCATGAACGGCAGCAGGTGGTTTGGATTCTTGCTCTTAATTCTGTTTAGATGATTTTGTTGGAGCAGTTTTCTTTTCACTTGTTGAAATCTTTGTGTCAAGATGCAAAACTACTGAAAAATGATACTTGTCTAAAATATATTGAGTTTACCAACACAAACAAAACGATGGCGCCCGACACACGTGTCTTGTTCTCACCTGAGTGAGCATCTCATCGGACAGAGTGCTCACGTGGGCCCAGGACCCCCGCTCATACAGGTGCACCCTGGTTTCTACAGGAACCGCTAAAACCTGACACACAGACAGTTCATCAGTAAGTCATCACTTTGCTGTGAAGCTTCATGCATTCATCGGATAATAAAAGTTGACTCGTGGAGGTGAGTGAACACAGACGTTGGAGTCACTGACCTTCGCCGCCGCCGCCGGCTGAAAGGCTAACCGACACAGAGACTTGGCATTGCTGACGTCGTTGGTCTTCTGCAGCAGGGGCCAGCTGACCACCTGAGTCTGAGAGGACAAACAAACGTTATAAGAAGAAACGCATCAGACTCTCAGAGTGAGGCTGGAGCTCTGACACACCTGTTCCATGATGTTCCACACCACGATGGAGCCGTCACAGCTGGCCGAGGCCTGGAGGCAGAACGCATCATCACAAATAAACACATTTATTACACTTTTTAAACCAACTTCTCTTTAAAATGACCTTATCAATGAAACATTTTAAAGATCCATGCATTAAACTGAAAACATTCATCTGTACTTAGGAGAATTTCTTTTGGCTGCTCCCGTCCTCAGGGGTCGCCACAGCGAGTGGACTCACAGGCTTGGTACCTGTGTTCTAAGCTGGATGTCCTTCCTAACATAACCACTGAGCTACCACAGCCCACATGTGTGGAGCAAAGGGCTGCCATCTAGGGTGCCCGAGGAGCAGCTGGGAGGGTTGTGGCTTTGCTTAAGGGCCTAGAGTGGGGCAGATGAGGGTGGAGGCAGGTGTGGGTGCTGTGTTTCCCCACCATTATACAAGCAGGGCATCCCGCCCTGTCAACAGAACAGAGTGCCCTGCACTGAACTAGCATTTTGAACGAGCTAAAAGCTATGGCAAGTTATCCAGGGGAAACACTGGAGTGCCTCACCCATTCTGCTCAGATTTTATGCACCAGTCTGGGGATTCGAACCAGCGACCTCAGGATCAGAGGCTCATATTCTCTAGCCTCTTGGCCACCACTCCCCCTAAGAGAACCTGTACTCTGTGTCAGTTTTATTTCCGAGCATTCAGATGTAAAGCTGGCAGAGTGAAACCAAAAGAGGCACGGAGCATAACTCAGCTGGGTTGAAGTGGAGCATACAAGTGATGAACAACTCCCTCGTGTCATTTAATAAACAAAGGATTAACTCTCTATGGTTAACTGTGTTCTTAACTACAAAGATGCTGTGTCATCATTTAGTCCCTCTGTAATAAATCTGTCTGTTAGTCCTGTGGACGGGCGGTTCCGCTCTGTTGCACCGTGGCGGCACACAGACGCACCAGAGGTGGACCGTCTTTGACCCCCCCCCCCCCCCCACCCCCAACACCACCACCACCACCACTGTGTGTTCTGAATGGACCGAGGAGGCCAAAACACGTTTCAGTACTGGACTGAGGTGTGTTGTGAACGAGCCTGACTTGTGTTTATGCTCTATAATCGCACCAGATTTTATAAATATAAAAACACGACACATGTCATATACACTTTGTGATGCCATCCTGCAGGTAAGTACATATTTGTACATATTTGTGTTTGTAATCCAGACCAGACGTCACTGTGACCTCAGTGTTGTTATTCCTGACATCGGAGGAGAATTACCCACCAAGAACTCATCTTTGGGGTCAAAGGAGACGCTGAGGACCGGCGCCTCGTGACCCCGCAGCATCTTCTGCTGGCTGCTGTCAGACACCTCCACCACCTTCACTGTGAAGTCACTGTGAGAAACAGGACGATGAAGAACTGAGTAACGAAGAGAAAAGAAAAACCAGTGAAGGGAAAATGATCCCAGTTCCCACCAACATCCACTCACGTCTAACATAAACCGATAAAGAAGCACAGACCAGCACGGCTTACAGCTACAGAAGACGTGCATGACTTCACAAAGCTGAGGAGACGTGCTCGTATTTCAGCTCTGGGATTACGTCATGGAGGGAAAACATCTCGGAGGCAACAGATCTGCTCGGTCAGCCGGACGTCCTGAGGTAGACACCTTTATTCACTCGTCTCTAAACAAAACAGCTGCTTTCCTCTCCAACATCACAAGTTAGTTCAGAAGTAGAAGTCTTTGGAGGAGTTATAAATGTAAATGGACTGTACTTATACAGAGCCTTTAGATCTTATCAAGATACTCAAAGCTCTTTACAACACAATCTGTGCTTCATTCACTCATTCACACAGCTCTCTACTAGATCTGTACAAAGAATAATCAGAGCTTTATCACATTCATACACTGATGGGACACACATCAGAGGCAGTGAGGGGCTCAGTGTCTTGCCCAGGGACACTTCGACATGTGTTGATGGAATCGAACCTCCAACACTTGCATTGCAGGACGACTGTTTTAACCACTCAGCCACAGCGCCCCAGTTGATTTCTTACCTGTTGAAGGAAGCTTTTTAAGTGACCTCAAAGTCAGAGAAAAGGTTTAATTTGGACCAGATAGACGAGCTAATGGCTAGCATGAGTAGGACAAAGACCAGCTGCCATCTTTAAACACCAATCCTGAACATTTTCTCATTTTTTCCCCTTTTTACTGTTAAAAAAAAAAAAAAAAAAAACTTTACTTCTGTCAGTTTTGGAGTACAGTAGTCCCTCGCTACTTCATAGTTCGTTTATCGCAGACTTGCTCTATGGCAGATTTTCAAAATAAGATTGGACATGACACAAAAGGATGAGCCACACAATCGGCATGGATTTTTTAAAATCTAAACTAAATTATTTAAAATCATTTAGCACCTGCTGCACCTTTGTGCAGCCCATACTGCAGGATAAAGTTCCTGCTGCAGCTGATCAGCTGATCTCCGTGCAGAGCGAAGCAGTGGGCGTGGCCAAGAGCGCTTGCAGGTGGCAAACAGCAGAGGAGGCGGGGAGCTGAAATCATGACATGCTGTGCTCTTTTAGAGCGTTTAGAAACATTGCTTAGAATACTGCAAGAGTGTGGGAAGGGTTTAAAATGCATATATACATATATATAAATACATATATATATTTCTGACCATCTTGACACTAAATCTGACAAAACCTTTCCAGTTTTAAGGCAGTCAGGATTCCCAAAACTATTTCTCATTTTCTAAATGCACGATTAATAGGAGAGAAATGTTCTCTTGCTTTCTCAACAGTCACAACAGTGGCGCCTCCAGAAATGTGTTCATGGGGTGACAATGTGGAGGCCACTGAAGATCCTGGGGTGGCACGCTGAAATTAAAAAGCCAGGACAGAACTTCACAAATTGAATTATGTTGTTCTTGTAAAACAATGATTTGAAAACTTTAGCCTCAAGTGACTTAAAGAACTTCAACAGCTGGAGCTCAGGGTCTTGCTCTTCCATCAACTTTAATGCAGCACAAACCCAAACACGTACCCCCTCAAATGTTTTATCATAACAACTGGCTCGGCACCATGATGTGTGCCGTTACCTTTATTGGCATATCGAGTTACCATGGGAACATACCATACTTTCAGCCTATAAGTTTTGCATAATTTGCATGCCCTGCAACTTATAGGCCGACGCGACATATTTATGGAGTTCTGGCTCCCACAGACCAGTTAGACGCTCCTAATCAACTCATCATCTGTATTAAAGAGAGCGTTCTTAAACTGTCACCTGTATAAAAGACCCATGTTCACAGACTCATAGACTCTAACCTCTACAACATGGGCAAGACCAAAGAGCTGTCTAAGGATGTCAGGGACAAGCTCATAGACCTGCACAAGACTGGAGTGGGCTACAAACCCATAAGTAAGACACTGGGTGAGAAGGAGACAACTGTTGGTGCAATAGTAAGAAAATGGAAGAAATACAAAATGACTGTCAATCGACATCGATCTGGGACTCCATGCAAAATCTCACCTCGTGGTGTGTCCTTGATCATGAGGACGGTGAGAGATCAGCCTAGAACTACACGAGGGGAACTTGTTAATGATCTCAAGGCAGCTGGGACCACAGTCACCAAGAAAACCATTGGCAACACATTACGCCGTAATGGATGAAAATCCTGCAGTGCTCGCAAGGTCCCCCTGCTCAAGAAGGCACATGTGCAGGCGCGTCTGAAGTTTGCCAGTGAACACCTGGATGATTCTGAGAGTGATTGGGAGAAGGAGCTGTGGTCAGATGAGACAAAAACTGAGCTCTTTGGCATTAACTCAACACGCCGTGTTTGGAGGAAGACAAATGCTGACTATGACCCAAATAACACCGTCCCCACTGTCAAGCATGGAGGTGGAAACATTATGTTTAGGGGGTGTTCCTCTGCTAAGAGCACAGGACTACTTCACCGCATCAATGGGAGAATGGATGGAGCCATGCACTGTAAAATCCTGAGTGACAACCTCCCTCCCTCCACCAGGACACTGAAAATGGGTCGTGGCTCGGTCTTTCAGCACAATCATGACCCAAAACACACAGCCAGGGCAACAAAGGAGTGGCTCAAGAAAGAAGCACATTAAGGTCATGGAGTGGCCTAGCCAGTCTCCAGACCTTAATCCAATCAAAAACCTATGGAGGGAGCTGAAGCTCTGGGTTGCAAAGCGACAGCCTCAAAATCTTAATGATTTAGAGAAAGATCTGCAGAGTGGAGCAGACATCCTCCCGACGTGTGCAAACCTCATCATCATCTACAAAACACGTCTGACTGCTGTGCTTGTAAAATGTAAAATAAAATGCAAATTCATTTAAATAATTTATACAATGTGATTTTCTGGATTTTATTTTACATATTCTATCTCTCATTGTTAAAATTAACCTACCCTTAAAATTACAGACTGCTCATGTCTGTGGGCAAACTTACAAAATCAGCAAGGGATCAAATCATTATTTCCTTCACTGTACTTGCTATGATTTCGAGCAAACAAATAATTGTTTGTAGGTGTTTATCTTGTTAAATTTGCACAGCTACTCGTCGCGTGCACGCCGAGTTAGACTGAGACACATCTTTGCTATAATTTTGAGCAAACAAATAATTGTTTTTAGGTGACTATCTTGTTAAATTCTGGTTCAAGTCCTCCCGTGCACGCTCCCACAGTCGCCATTTGGCCACCCATTGATTTCTGGCATATTTCCGGGTTGTCCTCTGTGACACGAAACAAACGTGACACGTCAGCGGTGGCGCTTAATACATGCAACGTATACGGCGAAGCAACACATTTGTGGATTTTTCCACTTTTTTGAGACATATTTGGACTGATGTGACTTACAAGGCGGTGTGACATGTACAGAGGAAAATACGGCATTACTGTCAAATCAAAATTTAAAAGTGGCCACAACGTGGCAGTCCCCGTCAAAGTTTCTCCAGGAACTTTCCAGTTTTACAGCTGATATTTCTGATGATGTGATGTCTGAGGACCAGAACAGAGAACATTCAGAGTTCTACAAGAGTCCAGTTTTATTGTGGTTCTTCCATTAGGCTTTTATCATGTTCTATAAAAAAAAATCTAGATGTACATCTCTGATCTGAAGAGGTCCATTAAATAAAACATCCACTAGAAACAAGTTCTCTTAAGTTTAAAGCCGCCACTTCTTCTAATTGTTTATAAATCGTTTTATTTGCCTTTTGCTGCATTCTTTTGGGAACAAAAAAAGATTATATACGTCTAAAACTGGCATTAAAAAAAACAACTTGCAATTATAATTATTAAAATATGTGTTGCATAAATTTCCTGAAATCCTGCATCTTATTGTTGTGGACACTGGTTTTAGACCAGACGTCCTCAGTAAATAAGACTAGATTTTATGTTTCATTTCTAATTTCTAAACAAAAATATTTATATTTTCAACTCTTCAAACAAAAACAATAGTAGCTTTTTATAAAGGCTCTACTAACGAAGGCTTGGGACTCTAGAAAATAAAAGTGTCTGGTCATGGTAGGGTGGCCATCGTCTTTATAAAGGGTGCACGTTGTTTCACACAGAAACCGTCTTTGAGATATTTCAGCTGGCCTACCTGGACGCGGCGGCGACTCTCGAGCCGCTGCTGTTGAAGGTGACGTGCGTGGCGTTGGTGGTGAAGCGCGTCAGGATGCCGTCCGGATCTCCGTCGGGGAAAGTGTGGATCTGCACCGTGTTGTTGGAGCTCGCCGTCACCAGCTTGCCTTTCTGTGCAGGAGAGGACGCATCGCTTCACTATCACACACCACAAGTTTACAGGCGTGTGCTCTTATTCTGAAACACAGCGGCAGATTTCAACCTTCAGCGCCAGAGAGTAGGCCTTTTCTCCAACAGTGATGAACTTTGGATCGTCATCGTCCAGGCTTTCCCAAATACGAACATCTCCATCGTTCCCACACGTCACAATGAACCTGGAACCATTTGATCCAAACATTTAGCATCATGTGATGCTGCTGCTCCAGTTCAGTCAGGACATTTTAAACCTTTTTATTTTACATTAAACAGTCACAAAAATACAAGATCCTGGAACAGAGTTCAGACTTTATGTCAAATCTACTTTTATTCTTATTCTTTCAGCTGTTCCCGCTTCAGGGGTCATCCTCCTCCATCTCACTGTCCTCACTCCAACTACCTCCATGTCATCTCTAACTGCATATATCGCCTCTTTGTCTTTTTCCTGGACAGTGGACCCCAAGTCCTTGAAGTCCTGCACCTTTGTGGCTTCTGCTCCTTGTAGCCCCTCTGTTCCACCAGCCTCCCTCTCATTCACACATGTTGTCTGACCATGATTCTGTACATCACCCTTGTTCTTAAAATGGGCACCAGTACACTTTTTCTCCATTCCTCAGACATTTTCTCACCCTCATATATGCCATTGAATATTTGAGTTAAAAACCTCACTGCCATCTCTCCAAGACATTTCCAAACATCCACTTGTACGTCATCAGGTCCTACTACCTTCCTCTTTTTCATTCTTTTCAGAGCTTTCTGGACTTCACCCTCACTAATCTTTCCCACTTCCACAGTTTCTATGACCTCTACTCTTCTTTCTCTTTCATTCATCAGCTCCTCAAAATACTCCTTCCATTTTCCCAACATGGACTCCTCACTTGTTAAAACATTACCATTCCTATCTTTATAACAAGCCTAACCTGCTGCACATGCTTTCCAGCCTGATCCCTCTGTCTCACCAATCGGTACAAGTCCTTCTCATTCTCTTTAGTGTCCAGCCTTCCATACGACTCATCATACGTCTTCTGATTTGCCTTTGCTACCTCCTCTTTGCTCTACATTGCATCTGCTTAGATTCCTGTCTCCTCTCTTCAGTCCTCTCACAGTCATATTTCTTCTTGGCTAACCTCTTTCTTTGAACGAGGTCCTGCACTTCACTGTTCCACCACCAGGTTTTCTTATCATCCATTCTCTGTCCAGGTGACACACCAAGTACCTTCCTACCTGTCTCTATAAACTGGAACAGACTACACAATGTCAGATAAGATGACTAATCTAATATAACCTGAAATCAGGAAATGTTTTATTTTAAAATATGTACGATTGCACAGTCAATACATGCAGAATTATTTAGTAATCAACAGCATCTGGATCCAACTTGGATCTATATCAGGTGAAAACATGTTCAAGTGCTGCAATAAACTGGTAACCCGAAATAACACATTAGTGAAATCTACAAAAATACTACATTTTGTGCTTCTGTTGCCATTTGACACTAATGCAGGTCCTCCTCGTCGTTTCTCATTCTGAGGTTTTGAACATTTGGATTTTGTTCACCTGCTTGAGAATCGGTTACTTGCAAAACTAAACAAAGAACTTAATTTGACATAAACCCCAAAGTGAAGGACTTGGAGTTTATCAGTGAGTGTTGTAATTAGTAACTACACCATTATTTTCAACCATTGCTTAAAGGGATACGAGGATAAAAATAATATTTTGCCAGTAAATGTGTGTTAGTGTCTGTTAGCAAACTATTTCATGAACCACTGAACAAATTTGAATGAAAGTTGCAGAAAGTAATCATTTGATGCACCTGATTAACTTTTGGGTGCAACCTGACTTAAGATGGCTAACAAAGTCAAACAGACTTAAAATCCCCTAAAACAGCTCGACCTTCTTCAACTCTACAGATATTTAGCAAATATTTGGAGTGGTAGTAGCTAAAACAGATCCCTGCACATACAATAAGTGCTAAGAGATCGTGACAGGTCTTTGCTTAATTTTTTAGCATCGTCATTCAGACTCCACCTTGTTCATCTGTTAGCAGAATATGCAATGAACCACTGGATGGATTATAATGAAACGTTCAGAAAATATTCACTGGATGTGCATCTACAACTGATTAAATGTAATTCCAGACAGGCGCCACAGCTAGTCAACAATAACCAACACAAACGTGGCAATAACTCAGACTAGTTTACAAATGTTGAGCTAAAATTTGATATGGTTGTATCTGAGAGTCGTCCCCAATAAATATTCAGAGCATAAACAATTTCTTTATAGAATATCTTCTTTGTTCTAATCTTAAATCAATGTTTGTTTGTTTTTTTTTTTAGTTTTTGTAGTCAGACATCAAAGTTCATCTAGTCTATAGCCAGACATTATTTTATATGATGTAGGAGTATTTTCCTATAATCTAACAATAATCTGAGTAGATCTGTGCTGGTTTGAGTTTATAAAATAAGAGTGGGTGTTACTGTTCACTAATGTGTTCAGAAACTGGCACCGACTACACTGACTCATTAACTCAGGTGTTTATTTTTATTTAAAATGTCTGAAATGAATGATTCCGGATAAATGTGCTCCCAGATCCCATCTCTTATTATGATCTGACAAAGGAGCTGAAGGACGGTGCTGGAAGAGGAGAAGCCTGATGATCCGACTTACTTCCCTGTGTCATCGAAGCAGACCTCGGTGTGTCCCTCCGAGTGGCCGTAGCGCATCGGCATCCTCTTACAAGGCATTTTTGTAACCACACTGAACACATAAACAAACATAACCATCAACAGATACTTCTACACCAACTGGAGAACGGTGCACGGTTGTTAAGCCTCTGCAGACATGTTATCATCGGCTAATGTTGTTTAAACAGCTAGCAGAGAGGCGCAAAGCTAGCTAACAGAGAAGCTAACGCTAAAATATTTAAAATCATAAACTACATGGACAGACAGACAGACACTGCTTCCGGTGCTAAACTCACTCTCACTTTTCACAGACTAATAAATAAGATACAGTTAGTAAAACAACTTACAAGTTCTCCGGGTGACTCTTTCCTCCGAATCTCCCGCGCTGATTAAACAAGGAAAACCGTACGTCACTACTCCCGCCAGCAACGTCATGACGTAGATACAGAAACTCCTCCCACAGTTGAGATTGACGGTTTCGTTTTATTAATGAATATTCCAGATGTAAATGAGGCGTAATGAACAAAAACTGTAATTTATTTTAAACCAATATTAAATAAATCCAAATTATTATTACTTAAAATAAAAAAATAAAAATAAATAAAAAATATAAATATTTATTTTAAAAGTCTAGCAAAACAAAAACAAATATTTTGACCTATCCTTTTTGCAGAATAAACTTGTATATGTTTTACTGGATCAAATTCTAATTTATCTTTAAATATGCAGTTTGTTTATTTTATGACTTGCTATAACATTTTACACACTTATTTCATTCAAAGTACCCATCAAACTATAATAGATAGAAAAAATAAATTGATAATACAAAGTAGTAATAACAATAATAATAAAATAAGAAGAAAGATAATTCTATGTGTGGAAGCTGTGTATCACTGCAGCATAAAAGTGACATAAAATTAGGGCTAAAAAATTCAAGAACACACCCTCATTTCACAGGACTGGGCATTAATCTAACATTAATTACTGGTTTGGCCTGGTAACACAGATGTTTGTACCAGATCATAAAAGACAACATTAATATTTCATGTATATCGTTCAAGGAAATCAATAACTGAGGTTTCTCAGTGTCTGTAAACATGCAGAGGATTTAAACACAAACAAAAAGGTATTTTGCTACAAAGTTTTTCTTACAGGCCACAAAAATTTATGCTCTTAACTTTTATTTGTTTGTTTGTTCATTTTTGTTTATTTATTTGCCAAAGAATCGGCTTGTGTTCAGTCAGAGGCATTTTCTACTGTGCTGCAGACATCATACAAGATTCTCAGTGCTTCAAGATTTTAGATTAAAATGCTAAATATTTGGTCTCTGTTTTTATCCCAGCAAACAACACTGATTCAATGTACAGCACTACCTGTGGATAAACAAAGCAAGGACATGCATCTCTGCTGCAGAAACACAAGCCTGGGGGTGGCCAATGGTGGCCATGGCCACCATAGATTATTCATCGGTCACCCTCATTTGAAGAAATATACTAGAGTATATACAACTAGAGAGTGTAGCATGAAGATGAGCTCCTCTGACTATGACCTTTGACACTTCGGTGGTCTACCAGATCCACCATAAACTATCTTCTTTAAAGTTATTTACACTTTTTATTTTTTTATTTTACCTTTATTTATACAGGTAGTCTCATTGAGTCACGAGGACTCATTTTCAAGCAGTGGTGATTTTAGTCTCTTTCGGGGGTCTTTAAGCACCCCTACATTTTAACTCAGCACCCCTGAAAAATAAAGAAACCATCATTAGGATTTTGTAATGAAACTCAGTTCTCAAAACAGATTGAGGACACTCTTAAACAGTCCAGTAAAACCTTTGATTATTTTGCACGAGTCAGATCCTCAATGCCACCTGTCAATCAGTCCAGTATAGGCTCATCAGCAACTGACCAATCAGCAACCTCAATTTGTCATGAAGAGATGAATCACCCCTTACCTGCAGGAACTACGCCCCGTTTTCCTCCAACAATGTTGTCAGTGTTTTACTTTAAAGGACGCTTTGCAGACAGAGGGACTTTGTGAAAAATTATCAGAAAAAAAGGTTAAATGTCAGTGGAGAACATGTAATTCAGACAGTGTTATCCTGAACGTTTAAAGGATGTAATACAGTTTATTCAATTTACAAAACCTGAACTGAGTCTGGACAAATATCAAAGATGGATGAAGTCCAGTGGATGACCTCATGATCAGCTGATTACAACAGTGATAAACAGGAAGTCCACATGTTTATCTGTATGAAGGCAACTTCATGTAAATCCTCTATTTTCTGTCATAATTACATTTTATGCTTAATGGTTAAATTAAAGGTTAATGCTTAAAGCTAGTTGTGCTTTATTTTGTGTGTTTTATTTATTTATTTTATTAGCCTTTATTTAACTGGACAAATCCCTCTGAGATCACAGATCTCTTTTGCCATGGAGGCCTGGGCCTGAAGGCAGCCTAACATGCATGTTTGATCTGTGGGAGGAAACCGGAGTACCCGGGGAAAACCCACGCAAGAACAAGAAGAACATGCAAACTCCACACAGAAAGACTCCAGGTCCAACCAGGGATTGAATCCAGGACCTTCTTGCTGTGAAGCAACAGTGCTAACCACTGAGCCATCGTGCTTTAAATGTAGACATACGTTGCAACTTCTGGTTGCGTAAGTTTAGTCTTTGTTTGCTCTGATCCTCTAAAGGTCATATTTGTGAGTGAGCCGGGTCGGGCCTGGTTAGTTCTTGGATGGGAGACCACCTGGTAATATCACATGCCATAAACCTTTGCACTTCTCAACAT